TCTCTCATGAATAAATAAATAAAAATCTTTAAAAAAAAAAAAAAAATCCTCCTTTAAAAAAAAAAAAAAAAAGAATGTACTTTAGGTCTTTATTTTAATCTTCCCTGCTTGATATTTTAATAAATCTCAATATAAGTGAATACCCAAGTGGTTAACATTATTATTCTTTGACTATTACCAGATTTTTACAAATTATGTAAATTGATGATAACTTCTCTATAAGTGTTTCTGGTATAAGTGTTTCTCTCTTGTAATTTGATGCTGGAGATAGGGTGACCGACTTGCTTATATCTGCCAGGTACTTTTCCAGTTTAGCACTGAAAATCTTGTATCTTAGGAAACCTCCCAATCTCATGCAAACTGGGTGGTCGCTCACCGTAGTTGCAGAGGAAGATTAATGTTTTTTAAAGAGAAATATTACAACTTGGGTTCTTTCATTTTTTTTAGGGAAGCCAGTGGATGAAAGCTTAAATAAAAAAGCTGAAGTACCATCATCATGTTGTTGTGTATGCCATTCAAAGAATTTTACAAACATTGACTTGAACCAAGGAACTTCACATCATTTCAACGGTCCAAGTACACCACCTTCTGAAAGAAATGACACTTCATCAACTTGTCAAGGTAGTTTATATTTTGCCTGGCTCTGTTGGTATCTGTAGTAGCCTTAAATTATTGCTGTTGTGAGACTTAAATTTGTTTAGCATAATTGACTATTTATCTCCACCTAATTTCTCTGGAATTATTTTTAGATAACACATAGGTTAGGCAGATATCCCTGGACTGTTTTATTGGCTTGACTTCTAATTTATTCAGACATTTTGCTAGCTTAAATCATTTTTTGAAGAAGGCAATGCACAATAAATGATATTTAGAAATTGATCTTATTTGTAGGTAGTATTGTTAATTATGTGTTAGAATTTTTGGGGTGTCTGAATGGCTTAGTCCGTTGGGCATCCAACTCTTGGTTTCCACTCAGGTGGTGATCTCGGGGTTGTGGGATTGAGCCCCTGGTTGGGCTCTGCACTAGGTGGGGGGACTGCTAGCTGGGGAGACTGCTTGGAATTCGCTCTTTCCTCTCCCTCTGCTCCTCCCTCCATTTGCATGCACCTGTGCCTCCCTCTCTCTCTCTCAAATAAATAAAATCTTAAAAAAAATTACATGTTAGAATTTTTAAAAAACACACTGATTTGTTTGTTTGTTTTTTTAAAGATTTTATTTATTTATTTGACAGAGAGAGACACAGTGAGAGAGGGGGAAGCAGGCTTCCCGCTGAGCAGGGAGCCTGATGTGGGGCTAGATCCTAGGACCCTGGGATCATGACCTGAGCGGAAGGCAGACGCTTAATGACTGAGCTACCCAGGCACCCCTAAAAAAACACTGATTTGTAAGACAAAATGCAATTAGCCTCATTTATTCATCCTTAGGAGTTTGCCTGAACTTCTGAGGACAGTATATCTTATATGAGGCTTTTTTTTTTTTTTTAACATACATTAGTTTTTTTAATTGAAGTATAGTTGGCATACTATAATACATACATTAGTTTCAGGTGTACAACATAGTGATTCAACAAGTCTAGGTGTTATTCTGTGCTCACCCCAAGTATGTCTACCATCCGTCACCTTATGCTATTACAGTGCCATTGACTGTATTCCCTATGCTGTACCTTTTATCCCTGTGACTTATTTATTCTGTAACTGGAAGCATGTATCTTCCATTTCTTTCTGGCAACCATCACTTTGTTCTCTGTATTTATGGGTCTATTTCTGCTTTTTGTTTGTTTATTCATTTGTTTTTTAGATTCCCCACATAAGTGAAATCATATTGTATTTGTCTTTCTCTGACTTACTTCACTTAGCATAATACCCTCTAGGTCCATCCATGTTGTCACAAATGCCAATATTTCATCCTTTTTTATGGCTGAGTAGAGAATCAGATATGTTTTAAATATGATCCTGAAACAGTTCTTACTAGATTTTTTAAAGAGAAGTATACTAAGAATATCACAAGATTATTAATTTTTAAAAATATTTCTTTGGCTTTGAGTATATGGAAAGGATTAACAACCATTATTTACCTAAGCCAAAAACTGAGGAGACATCCTATACACTTTGTTCTTCCTTATTTCTCCTCTATCTCCATTGATACCTCCTTAGTCCAAAGTGCCATCTCTTGGTTAGAGCATGTAATAACTTCTTTTCCTGCTTTTACTCATGCCATCCTTTAATCACCTGGCAGGAAGCAAAGAGGTTGCCATGATTGACTTAAGTCTAAAGAGTATCCGCGTCTTTTTTTTTTTTTAGATTTTATTTATTTATTTGGTGGAGGGAGAGAGACAGAGGGAAGAGCGGAGGGAGAGGGAGAAAATCTCAAGCAGACTCCTGATGAGCACGGAGTCCCATGTGGGGCTCCATCTCATGACCCTGAGATCACGACCTGAGACGAAATCAAGAGTCAGGCACTTAACCAACTGAACCACCCTGGTGCCCCTAAATAGTATCCACTTCTAAAACGAAGGGTGGAGTTATCTTCTTCTAAAACACATGACCATGTGTGGAGGAGGGTAGCTGCTTGAACTAAAGTATGATTCTGTTAGGAATGAGGAAGAGGTGGTTGAATACATGCTGAAGAGGTGACCAATAGTGTTGTCTATACTGTTTTGACCCTTAGCCCTTTTGGCTTTCTTTCCGTTCCTTAAGAGGATCATGCTTTCGCCTGCCTCCTCAGAGCCTTTGTTTATGTTAGTGTTTCTTCTGAGGAAAGTCCCATCTTCCATTTGTTATCCTGCATTTCCTTTAGGTCTCAGCTTAAATGTCATTTCCTTGAAGGAGCCATACTGACCTTTCTGTCAGACTAGATTTGGTTTCCCTATTATATTCTGTCCTCTCACTGGGCCTCTCCTTCATAGCACTTGTCACAGTTTGCATTATCCATATGCCTGTGTACATCATTTATCAGGCTCTGCTTCCTGTAGCAGACTATATACTCCTTGAGGTCCGGGACCATGTCAGTTTGCTTATCATTGTATTTTTATTTTTATTTTATTTTATTTATTTTTTTAAAGATTTTATTTATTCATTTGAGACACAGAGATAGAGAGAGAGAGAGCATGAGGAGAGAGAGAGGCAGAGGCAGAGGGAGAAGCAGGCTCCCTGCTGAGCTAGGAGTCCGATGTGGGGCTCGATCCCAGGACCCTGGGATCATGACCTGAGCCGAACGCAGACGCTTAACCATCTGGGCCACCCAGGCGCCCCTTATCATTGTATTTTTAGTACTTAGCAGAGTGCCTGGCATATGGTAGGTGCTAGATAAATATTTGTTGTATGAATGAATGGAATTGACTTTGAGATAATTAAAGGAGTTCTGGTTTATGTTTATATACAACCTGTTTTTTTTTAAGATTTTATTTATTTATTTGAAAGAGAGAGAGAGCACAAGCAGGGGGAGCAGCAGAGGAAGAGGGAGAAGCAGGCTCACCACCAAACAGGGACCCCAACTGGGGGCCTGATCCCAGGACCCTGGGATCATGACCTGAACCAAAGGCAGACGCTTAACTGACTAAGCCACCCAGGTGCCCCTACAACCTGTATTTTTTTTTATTTTATTATTTTATTT